GTAATACTGAATAGTGTTTATCTCTAATCACACACACTATATTTTCAACAGAAAAGTAGAAAATAGTTAAGTGATGGATAATAATCCCAAATCTTTTGATTAATTTTCTTCATGGATAAGCCAATTTATATATAATATTTCTATTTATATATATTTCACTGAGAAAAGGTGATTTAAAGCATTGTACAAATTAATGGCTAACATTTTTGGGGGGTATGTTATAGCAATAGCACTTAAGACTTATATACTGCTTCATAGTGCTTTACAGTACTCTCTAAATGGTTTATAGAATCAGCATTATTGCCCCCAATAATCTGGCTCCCCATTTTACTGATCTCAGAAAAGATGGAAGACTTGAGCCAATCAAGATTGAACTCCTAGCAGTGGGCAGAGTCTGCCTGCAATACTGCATTCTAACCACTGGGCCACCACAGCTCTTCTGCTTTGCTTATGGTTGGTTTCCAGTAAAATGGGGAGCTCAGATTGAGGGCTAGCAAAAACAAAACAAAACCCAATAGTAGGTGAAGCTTCTTGTATTGGGATTACAGTACTTTTTTTCTCTTCCTTTCTCACTATAATCCAACATTTCTTTCACTTTTTTTCCTGACAGTACACCAACCCAAAGCAGAAGCGAAATGATAGCTCAAAGAATAGAGTTAATATGTCTACAGAGTTTGAAACTGCATGAAATAAAGCAGAGGGTCTGCAATATCTCAGCCCTAGTTATAAATGACTCACATTATTATTCGGTGAAAGGTTGAATATGATTTCAGCATTAAGTGTTCTTGTCTTCATTTTGCCACTTTTGTAGAGATGAACAGCTTTATTTGCTGCTACTAGTATCTGAAAAGGATCAACAACCTGCCAGAGAAAACATAATGAAGTTTTCAACTGCTGTATCAGTTCCAGAAAAAAAACTTTAGGAAAGCAATCACCTTACTTACAGATATGGAATGGAATAGTACTGTAATGGAAGAGTACATTTAGACTAACTCTGTATTTATATTAAAATTTAAACCATGCATCACATTTTTACCCATGGAAAGATAAGGCACCCATCAGTTGTCTTAATATTTATAATTTAGCTTTCAGGGGAATAAATAATGCTATTATGTTTAAAAGAACTTTAACAAAATACTTCTCAGAGAAATAGGGTCAGGAAGGGGGAAAAAAATCACTAGAAATCATGTTCCAGAAGTTTGGGCAGGCATTTTAAAAATTCAGGTGAAAATTATTTATCTTGTTAAAAGTTTCTATTCACTGAATTTTTTTTACAGACAGAATGTGACCTAATTAATTTTGAACATGCTACTGAATATGTACAATGGAGACAAGTTGCTTACCATTGAAGGATTAATTAATGCTCCATCAATAGCACCTTCCATTGCTTTCTTCCGCAGAGTAGCAGCATTTTTCACACCATTAAATAGGATAAGAGTCACAAGACAGTCAGGAAATAATTCTAACCGATGTCTTAAGCACTGCATCTTGTACCAGAACAGTAAGCTCTTTCAAACCTAGAACATTTATAAACATTTAAAAGTTATGGTTGGAAATGAAGTTTAAAGATTAATTCTGTGAGATGACTAGAAGGGATCAGATCTATCCTAGATTCCTATGAAGTGTGGCCTAGTGGTCTATCCAATATTAACATTAAACCAAATTGAGTGGGTTTATGTTCCATATTGATTAGGTTTTAAGAAATATGATCTTATATTAATTATTTGTTCTCCAACAAGCCTTGGCTTTTACACTGGAACAGCTTCAAGAATATTTTTTCTATAGAGAAAAGATCATTCTTGTTATTCTCCTGATTTTTTGCCACCAAGTAAGAAAATGTGAGTAGGATTATCAACATTTTTAAAAAACGTGAACTTGCGGTGAGTTAATCTTTACAACTGCCTGAGTACCCAGAGTTCATCTGTAGTGACCATGTAAAAATTCTTTGCTTCCATGCACATACGGGAATACCTCAAAGTTCCTATAAGGACTTTTTCTTCTTCAAGGTCTTTAACACAAAATGACAATAGAACACACTCAATACTGTAATTAATTACAAGATGCATCTTTATAAAAATAGCTTTTCAAGCCCTTCATTCTGACTTACACGAAGTATGTTCTCATATCACACAGACGAATTAAGTTAAAACTGTTATTTAATGTGCTGTTTACATTTTCATTTCACAAAAAGTTGATTAGTCATAACATTTGCTACAGATCCTGCTAATTTTTGGTTAACTAACTTTTTTTCAGGAGAATATTTACTGTATATCTTTCTATATCTATCCCATGGTTTCTTAATTACCCATTGTTCTATCTAAATTTAAGAAATCTTCCCTCAAGATTATTTCTAAAATATTAAGTTTAAAGATTGTTTTGTTGATGAGGAAGGAAGGAAGGAAGTTCTAAAATTAGGTGAGAGTTAGGGTTATGGTTAATAAGAACAGTGATATTTTTTTCAAAAATAAGTCAGAAAAAAAGAAAACTAAATTTAACAGGAATAGAGAAAAAATTAACCTTCTCTAAAATAAATTTTATTAATAATTTTAATAACAAGAGATAAAGTTTGGAATTCAAACTGATAGACACTTGCCACAGAACACCCCAGACTCAGCAAAAAAGCAGAAGAGAAAGAACTGGAGAAGATAACAAAATACAAAGACCTGTAAATCGTAGAACAACTGAAGCAAAAAGGAAGCAAAGATAGTATCAATAGTAATAGGTGTCTTGGGATGCAATCCCAAAACAACTCAAGCACCACTTGAACACCATCGATTTTGACAATTAATCATCAGTGAAGTAAAGGCAGCTTTACATGGAATAGTAAATATTTTTCAACCATACTTTTATCATGACTCTATTGAGTTTGACACCCGTGTAATAATTAAAATACTGCATTTATATTGTTGTGTCCTGAGCCTGCAAAAGCAGGCTCGGGACGTTGCATTGGTCCCGGGCATTCCAAAAGCTGGCCGGGACCAGACAGAGTGGCACTGGCCTTGCGCGCATGCGCAAGGCACAAAAACGCTCTGTTCCTATTGGTTGTCACTGTCCGGGCTTTTGGCCATATAAAAAGGCCTGCAAGCCTTTTGCTTTCGCTTGGTTGTTGTAGAAGGAGAATAAAATGTTTGTTCAGCATCGCCATGTGTCTTCATCATTCGCACGCGAACCAAGTATACAACATATATACCGTATATGCCGGTGTATAAGACGACTTCCAGAAGTGCTAAACTCGGCGCCAAAGACGGGGGTCGTCTTATACGCCGAGTCATCTTATACGCCGGAAATACTGGTAGTTTCCAGCGTATAAGACGGCGTTCCAGGAATGCGGCTCGGCGATAAATACGGGGGTCGTCTTATACGCCGGGTCGCCTAATACGCCGGCATATACGGTAATTTATCATTTTTATTTATTTGATTTTTATCCCACCAGCTCAAGTTGGAGAACCTAAATTATACTCCATTCTCCTATTTTCCCCACAACAACAACCCTCTGAGATAGGCCTTCTGAGGTCCCTTCCAGCTCTGTAAGTCTATTAAGGGGCTGGCCTAGTAATCAGAAGACCTTTGAATTCTATTCCCATTTTAGGCATAAAAAGCCAGTTGGGTGATTTTTGGGCCAGTCATTCTCTCTCAGCCCAGCCTACCTCAGAGGGTTGTTGTTGTTGTTGTGGGGAAAATAGGAGGGCAGAGAATAATTTAGGTTCTCCACTTTTGAGTTGGTGAGATAAAAATCGAATCAATAAATAAAAATGATAAATTATATAAAGGCAGTTATTTTAATTATTTACTGAATTATTCTTATTTGAACTTTACTCCTTCTTAGCCAGTGGTTCTCAACCTGTGGGTCGGGACCCCATTTGGGGTCGAATGACCATTTCACGGGGGTCGCCAAACAACGCAGTCCACCACTTTTTTCCCCCTTTTCCTTAGCTGTGCTACTCCCTTTTATTCTATTGGCTTTTGAAAGCTAATAGAATTGACTCTCTTGAATAGAGTCTAATTCTATTGGCTTTCAAAAGCCAATAGGAATTGTCCAGGCTGTCTCTGCCCTGCTGAGCCCGCCAAAAGTCCCATTCTGCAAACGGTGCTGCACCAGTTGAGTAGTCCTTGACTTATGACCGGTTGAGTAGTCCTTGACTTACGACCGATTGGGGGTCGCGGCATTAAAAACGTTGAGAACCACTGTTCTAAGCTAATCGACATGAGCTAATCGACTGGATTTTGTGCTTGAGGTGGAAATAAATGAAACTTTGATTTTGGGTTTTACTGATTAGATTGATTTGTTGTTATAGAAATGGCTAGTTTATACTATTATGGAAAAAGTCAAAAGTTCAGGTCCGATGTTAATGCTTTATTCTACCGCAACAGAGGAAATCTGTTTTCTCTTCTTTTACCCTTCTCCCCCTCACTTCTTTCCCTTTTCTCTCCCCACTGGGTCTTACTATTTGCTTTTATATTTTTGTACTTTATTCTATAATCTAATAAAATGTTACAAACCGGGACTTGGGCGGGAATAACGCTTGCACTCAGCCCACTCTTCTCTTAACCCGTTTGGTCTTTGTTTAAAGAAGGCCAAGGTATGCATTGGATCCTTTCTTAAGAGCATTTTTATACCTTTTTTCCTACGGTGCTCTCCAGGCAACATTACAAACCCCCAATCATAGTTGATTAACAAGAAACACGCAGAAAGAGAGCAGAAGTTCACTCCTAAGAAGGGGAAGAAGAGGAGAATTTTGCACGAGGGGTGCAAAGTAAGCCCCCCTCCAGCCCTGTTTTCCTAGCCCGGACTGAGGGGGGGGGCAAGCCGGGCAAGGCCCACAAACCTGCATGCGGGTCAAGAACAGCGGCCCGCCGAGGCTCCTCCTTCCCTCCAGCCGACTAGTTTCCCGCCGGGAAGGCCTTTCCGCCGCAGAGGCCCGCCTCGGCCTCCCCTCGTTCTCCGAAGCCCGTCCCCGGCAGCGCCGCCCGTCCGCTCTCCCATCCACCTCTCCGAGGCCCCCGCAGTGCTTGGGCCAAACCGGACGGGAGCCGCGCCATGGAGCGCTCCGAGGTCTCCTGCTTCTCGGCGGCCTTTAGCTGCACCTTCCTCGCCTCCTGCCTGCTCTTCTCGGCGTTCAACCGGCAACAGCGGGCGGCCTACATGGACGAGGCCTTCCACGTTCCGCAGGCGCAAGCTTATTGCGCGGGTCGGTTCCAGCAGGTAGGCAGGCGAGCGAGCGGATCCCCGAGTCCGGCGCCGCTCCGAACTGCGGAGGCAAAAAGGGGTTTGCAGGCTCCGATGGCAGCCTAAGGTGGCTTCTTGGGATTGCTTTCTTTTATTAATATCCTGCAAAATAGACACCCCCCCCTTTCCCCCTATCATTTCTCTGTTCTGCTTACACGAAGGACTGCACAGGACTAGCCTCTTGCCTTCAGATTCTTTTGGACGACAACTCTCATCCTTCCTCACCCTTGCCTTTGCTGGAAGGGGCTAATGGAAGTTGAGGTTCTTCAAATCTGAAAGGCATGTTTTGGAGCGAGGAGAGCACAATCTCCTCCCGTTTCTAATAGACCAGGGTTCCCCAAAGTGGTCAATATCGACCCGTCTATCCACTATTATTATTATTCTTAGTACTATTAATTAAAGTGATATTTTTTTAAATTGTGTTAATATAATAAGTGTTTGGAGAATTTGGGGAAATAACAAGGAACTGAAATATTTTCTTGTTTTATTTTCTCTACATAGAAATTGTGCTTTGCTTTTAAACAAACAATTCTAAGAGTCTAGGACAGTGGTTCTCAACCTGTGGATCGGGACCCCATTTGGGGTCGAATGACCATTTCACAGGGGTCGCCAAACAACGCAGTCCACCATTTTTTTCCCCTTTTCCTTAGCTGTGCTATTCCCTTTTATTCTATTGGCTTTTGAAAGCCAATAGAATAGACTCTCTTGAATAGAGTCTAATTCTATTGGCTTTTAAAAGCCAATAGGAATTGTCCAGGCTGTCTCTGCCCTGCTGAGCCTGCCAAAAGTCCCATTCTGCAAAACGGTGCTGCACCAGTTGAGTAGTCCTCGACTTAAGACCAGTTGAGTAGTCCTCGACTTATGACCGGTTGGGGGTCGCGGCATTAAAAAGGTTGAGAACCACTGGTCTAGGAGATGCTCTATTTTTTTTTGCTTTGGAGTTAGTCTTAACTCCTGACAACTGCCTGGACAAATTCCTACACTGCAGTTTTCCTGGCAATATTTCAGAAATGGTTTGTCATTGCCTGCTTCCTAGGGCTGAGAGAGAGCAATTGGCCCAAGTTCACTCAGTTGGCTTTGAACCAAAGGCAGGAGAAGAACTACCGGTAGTTTTCCCCTGGTTTTAATTCAGTGCTTTTGACCATTATACTAAGCTTGTTTTCTATTTCGTTCTAGTACTTCTGTTTTATATATGTATGTTTTTATATGTAAATAAAAGGAACTAGACGGACAAAAATATCTGAATTACTCAGCACAATTTTTAAACACCTTATTAAAAATATTGATCATACAGATTACTGTTGGTAATTTTTTTTCATTACGGGAATCATGTTTTGAACAGAAGTCCAGTTGAAAAGCTAAGAATGAAAATATGTCATCAGTCTAAAAATTTACAATAGCATTGTCTTTCCCCTATAAAAGAATAACATGGGTTCGCTCTGTCCCATTTTGATAGATCTTTGGTTCTTCATATAGTGATAATGACTACATTATTGCTACATAATTCAAAGGAAGGAAGGAAGGAAGGAAGGATTCTGATTTTTCCTTCCAACTTCTCACACATAAAATCAATGGACAAACTGGCAGGAAGTCAGAAGCGTTCCTGCTCCCACTGCATTTTTGCCCATCTGTGGTCATTCTGTATCTCTGTTTAGGTAAGGAAATTAAATGAAGACCCAACAGGGTATGGGTGGTCTAGTACAGGGGTCCCCAACCCCCGGGCCGTGGCCCGTTCAGAACTGACAGGCAAACTCATGCAGTTTCATTTGTGCAAGCAGCGGGCACTCACACAGGAAGGTCCATTTGCATGGCCTGTCTGCAAAGCTGGAAAGATTGGAAACCCATGGTTTAGTACAAATTCCCCTTGCAGTGATTCAAATGATTTAAAAATTTGTTAGTCAGGCGATCTTAGTAAATATTCCTATTAGCTCTTGAATCCCCCCCCCCACTACGAATTAACTGCAGTATTCAGCCTGGGCTTATCCCATTGTGGAAATTTATTATGTGAATAAGTCAAACATACTGTGTGCGCTTCCATCCTAAAATCTTTCAAATATGCTTTGCAGCCTTTAATCGTGGAAATATAATGTCTTGAGAAAGGAACCCAAGAAGGTTCTTTGCATTTATTGTTTATTTCACTAATCCTATGAACAATCGCAGTAGGTATAATGTGACGTCTTATTTGAATGTTCCTAATCTTCTAGATTCCATTCTGATAGGATTGATTAAATAAACCTATGCAATTTTAACTTTAGGTGCCCTGCTTTTCTATTTGTACACCTAGTCCACCGAAGAGTTTTGATGAACCTGAGAAGTTGCACACTGTTTCTGAATTAGAATAAATCCAATAATGTAATTTTATTTATTTAATAGTTTGATTTTAGCCTATCATTAGATTGAGCAAACTGAAGTAAAACATTGAGAGTACGTTCAATGAAAAGTCACAGGTCAAAAAGTAAAAACTGAAAACACCAAGTAGCATCAAAAGATATAAATTCTAACCCAAAAAACCAACAAAAAATAAATAACTTGTACTTCAATATAAAAATCCTCTTGAATAGTCCTTTTTAAAATACTTCCCTAAAGCTAATATATCAGGGGCTTTTCAAACTTCAGAGGAAAGAGAGTTCCAAAGAACTGTCAGAGAAACAGTGTTTACAGGCCTCCATCTCACTTATTTCAGAAAAGCAGGGAATGACAGTTACAGGTAGTCCTCGACTTACAAGTTCATTTAGTGACCATTACAACTGCATTGAAAAAAAGTGACTTATGGCCATTTTTCACACGACCGTTGCAGCTTCCCCATGGTCATGCTATGGTCAACATTCAGATGCTTGAAAACTGACTCCTATTTATGGTGGTTGCAGTTCCCTGGGATCATATGATCACCTTTTACGATCGAAGTCAATGGGGAAGCTAGATTCACTTAACAACCGTGCTAGTAACTTCACAATTGCAATGATTCACGCTAACAATTGTGGCAAGAAAGGTTGTAAAATGGGGTAAAAAACTCAGTTAACAAATATCTCCCTTAGCAACAGAAATCTTGAGCTCAATTGTGGTCGTAAGTCGAGGATTACGTGTATTTGTCCTAATAAGGTTTACTAAATGTTGTCACCCGTATAGTTAAAGGTATTGGATCAGAGTACCATATTAATTTTCTGCTCAGAAGAAGCCTACTCGCTGCCTAAATGTGCTATTATGTTTTACTGTACCCTTATTGTTAATGGTTCTCCTAAATAGTTTTTCAAAATGATTATTTCCAGTTGAGCAAAGTAGAGAAAGAGATATGCCAATGGTGGCGAACCTATGGCACGCGTGCCAGAGGCGGCACTCGGAGCCCTCTCTTTGGGCACACGCACTGTCACCCCAGCCCCGCCTCCTCCCACGGCCCCCTCCTCACCAGCAGCCCCCCAGAGAGTCGCCCCCAGGCACGGCCCACACGAAGCAGCGCAGCCAAGGACATGGTAGCCGGGCAGCGGGGACAAGACTCTGCCCTTGCGCCCCATCGTGCGCAGATGATGCTGCAGGGCATAGGCGCAGGGTGTGGCTGCCATGGCGCTGCTGGGCTGCCCAGGTGATCTGTGGCAGGCTATGGAGGTGGTGGGTGGCCCAGCAGGCACGGCGGAGCGGGGACGGGTGGGGGTGCGGTTTTTGGGCACTCGGTCTCTAAAAGGTTTGCCATCACGGAGATATGCTCTTCCCCTTACAGTTTCACTTTTTTAAAAAAAATTCTAAATTGCTTGGTTGTTGTTATTCAACATTCATGATCCTCCTGAGTAGGAGCAACACTCAGCCTCAATACTTCTAACATTAGATTTGGCTACTTTGGAACACATACAAAGGAGATACACCATTTATTCTTATATAGGAATGCCTAGTTAAATTTTAATTTAATTTAATTTAATTTGCATTCTCCTTTTCCAGTTATAGGTGGGGGTTTCTTTGGTTATGCATTTGTAATATTTTTTTATTTTCTTTTTCCAATAGTGGGATCCAATGATCACCACTTTGCCTGGTTTGTACTTGCTGTCAGTTGGAATTCTGAAGCCCACAGCCTGGCTGTTCGGGTGGTCTGAAAGTCTCTTCTGCTCTACAGGGATCCTTCGATTCATTAATCTGCTTTTCAGCACTGGAAACTTCTATTTATTATATTTGCTCTTCTGCAGGATACACCATAAAAAGGTAGGCGCTGAATATTGTACGAGGGCAATTCGGAAATAAACCTCCATTTGGTTATCAATGTTGTAGTTTTCTGATATGTATAATAAAAGTTCTGTATCTGTGAGTGTCTGTCATTGACAGCCAAACGGAGGCTTATTTTCGAATTGCCCTCGTATTCAAAATAGTTTCACTCTACACAATAGCTTTTAAAATATTTAAAACAGTTGCACGCTACGTGAAGCAAGACTAATATTTGACAAAATTCTGAAGTCTTCTGTTTCTTTCTGCACACCTGCCAAATACTTGTTCTTAATGTTATGCCTGCAACTATCTGTTGTTCACAGCTCTATTTTACAGGTAGTCCTCAACTCACGGCCACAGTCAAGCCGAAAATTATGTTGCTAAGTGAGAAATTTGTTCAGTGAGTTTTGCCCCGTTTTACGATTTTTCTTGCCACATTTGTTAAGTGAATCACTGAAGTTGTTAAATTATCAACATGGTTGTTAAGTGAATCTGGCTTCTCCATTGTCTTTGCTTGTCAGAAGTTTGCAAACGATGATCGCATGATCCCGGGACACTGCAACCATCATAAATATGATCCAGCTGCCTAGCATCCAAATGTGAATCGCGTGACCAGGGGGATGCTGCAACAGTCATAAGAAAAAGTGAAAAAGAAATGTGAACAAGTCACTTTTTTCAGTGCTGTTGTAACTTCAAACGGTCACTAAACGAACTGTTGTAAGTCGAGGACTACCTGTATTGTTATGTAATAAGCCACACTTATTTCCCACTCCCAGGGTATCTCAACTTTGTGGTTTTAGTTGTCTTACCTCATTTAGAATCTAAAATCAGTTTAAACTTATTAGTAATAATTTATTAAAATTTAAAAAAACAGATTTTTTTTCTGTTAAGTCTTTTGATATTATATTATCTTATGATGGGGAAGTGAGCTTTTAAAAGACATTGTTTACATTTCTTTTTGGGATGGTGGTGGTAGTGATGAGTATTTGGACAGAATTTGAAAGCCAGATTGGACAAAAAATAGACATACCTTTTCTCCCCCTCTACTTTGCTTTACATCTACATACAGTATACATTTTCTTCTGCTCCTGCTGCTTTTGCATCTTTTGTTATTAATAATAATTATCTTACCTCAACTTTATTTCCATTCCTTAATCATTCCTGATTATTAAACAAAATCTACAAATAATCAAATACCAGGTGTTTCAGTGAAAGGTTTTATTTTAAATATGTGTTTGGTGCATGTGTGTGGTAATTATAAAATTTGCAAAGGGTAGCCTTATCTTGTAAAGGGAACTCTTTTTGTATATAAAAGGAATAAAACCACTTCTTCTGAAGTGATGCCTTCTATGTCAATGTGTGAATGATAGAACAAATTTGACTATAAATGTTTTTGCTCATGGGCAAACATAATTAATGAAATGCAGTAATATGATTATTGAAAATTTCATTAATTGGACAACACATTTTTAGGAGATGAATTTCTAACAACTTTAACGTGGTGAGCTATGGTTTAATGCCAATGTTTTTATCTTGTTATTTCTATTTTAAGTTCCTCGTGAATTTGCCCATGTTGTTTTTAATTTTTATTAGAAACAATAGCTCTGATTCTTTTTCTTGTTTTTCCTCCACTTTTAGGCTGCCTCTGGATTCCAGAGAATCCTGTCAACCTTGACACTAGCAATATTTCCAACTCTTTATTTTTTTACATTCCTTTACTATACTGATACAGGCTCCACGTTTTTTATCCTCTTTGCCTATTTAATGTGTCTTTATGGCAATCATAAAACCTCAGCATTCCTTGGATTTTGTGGGGTTATGTTTCGCCAGACGAATATTGTATGGACTGTCTTCTGTGGTGGAAGTGTTGTTGCAGAAAAGCTAAGTGAAGGCTGGAAAGTGAAATTACTGAAAAGCAAAGAGAAGAAAAACTTACCAACACAAAACCTCTTTTCAGAATCAATCAGGATTGTTAGATTTGTCCTTGGGTACTTTACGTCATTTAAAAACTTGAGCAATCTGATTCTCTTGATATGGCCATACGTTACTGTAATGGTGGCATTTGCTACTTTCGTTGTCCTCAACGCTGGCATCGTTCTTGGGGACAGGAGCAGTCATGAAGCCTGCCTGCACTTCCCTCAGCTATTTTACTTTTTTTCTTTTAGTCTTTTTTTTTCCTTCCCTCTTATAGTGACACCCAGTAAACTTATCAGTTTTCTCCATTCTGTGAGGATCTATTTTCTGCGATATAGTATCCTGACAATTGTTTCTTTATTCCTTGTCTGGAAATTTACTTATGCGCATAAGTATTTGCTTGCAGATAACAGACATTACACATTTTATGTGTGGAGAAAAATCTTTCAGAGACATGAGCTTGTCAAGTACATGTTAGTTCCAGTTTATATATTTGCTGGCTGGTGTTTCACAGATGCACTGAAGTCAAAATCTGTTTTCTGGAACTTAGTATATTTTGTATGTTTGTTTGCAGTCACGGTTCCACAAAAGCTTCTAGAATTCCGTTATTTCATTTTGCCATATATTATATATAGGCTTAATATTCCTATGCCATCACTTTTGAATCTTTTCTTAGAGTTGATTGTATACATTTTGGTGAATGCAATAACATTGTATTTCTTTTTGAACAAACCATTTCACTGGCCATTTAATGAGGAAATCCAGAGGTTTATGTGGTAACACTTTGGTTTCTAAAACCTGTTCCAGAGCTTTTTGCTACAAATAAGAAGTTACAATTTCAAAACTTCATCAAGGAAAACAAAGTATTCTTTATTTATTTTTGTAATGGAATAAATATGAAATGTATAGGGTATTTGCAGACACTGGACTGTTTTTATAAGGGTACCATCCGTAATTATTTCTTAAAGATCAGGAAAATTTTACCCACATTCCCAAAATAATGTGAATGTACAGATATTTTGATCATACCAGAAATCATAAAACGTGGACTGTTTTCATTGTATTGCTGTACATGTGTAACAAGTGATTGAAAATAAGTTTGATTTGATGTCAGTCAATTATTTTCCCCATGCTTGGGTAATATTGTTTCATGTTTGTATACAGTGACATTTAATTTTTTTATAATGTTTGGGGTCCAGGGGTCCAGCTAAAAGTCACATAATTATCAGTTTATTGCAACTAATATGAATGAGAGAAATGTGCCTCGTATTAAGGCTGAAATCTTGGACAATTTTCTGGCAGGAAACTTTAAAGCAGCGGGGCTATGTAGAAATGGATAGGATTATGCTGTGAGCAAGAAGGAAATTGATTATGAACTAGAGAACCATAATTAAATCACATATCATGGGTAGATATTATATAATAGCCTTGATTTGTTAACCACTGAAAGAAAATCTAGATACCCTAGTTTGCTATACCAAGGACACTAAATTTGTAGTCTCAGCATAAACCATAAATCTTAAAATACTTCACTAAATATTTAAAGCTGTACTGTGTGTACATTTTCCTAGAGCTGTAGTGGCGCAGTGGTTAGAATGCAGTATTGCAGGCTAGATCTCCCCACAGCCAGGAGTTCGATCCTGACCTGCTCAAGGTTGACTCAGTCTTCCATCCTTCCGAGGTTCGTAAAAGGAGGACCCAGATTGATGGGGGCAATTATGCTGACATTGTATAGTGCTATAGCTATTGCTATTCCTGAAAGCAGTCTCCATTGAACTTAATATATCTTCTCAATTAACATGCATAGTACACCTACAGTCCTAAGTATCCTTTTTAGAAATTGTTCTGTTGAACTAAGAATGATTTTATATAAAAAGTTACCTAGACTCAATTTTATCCATTGTAAATATTCTACAACATTTGAGAATTGATATTCCATTTATAATAAACAATGGTAGGCAATGCTTAAAAGTAAACCAAGAAGGCTTCAGGCCTCTTACCATTATTAACAAAATGCCAGTTCTCAGTGATATAGGACAACAGTACTGCTAATTGATTTTGTCTGAACATAATGTCAAACTATGGCAGTTAAAATGTTTTTTTAAATAAAATCTGAGATTGTGGAATTCTAATAATAAATTTGCATGCTACATGCCAAAAAATCAAAATCAAATCAATGTTCCTTATATTTAAGGGCTATAATACTTGATAGAAGCATATTTAAGATGTGAAAACAAATATTTAGAACTATACTCAATAAGAACACTTAGCAATGAATAAGATGAAAATTTTAATATATTTTTTCATCACAACCCAAATATTAATACTCTTGTGTTAATAAGCAATAAATGATAGAATTTGTTTTAGCTTTTTTGTCTCGGAAATGTGTTCAAGAGTGCTCTTCCACCTGTAACAGATTCCTCCCTCTTCATAGATATAGGCTTAATTTTCCGCAGACCATGTAATAGATAAATAATGTAGGTTTTGTGGTGGAAAAAGATAGACCATCTATAACAGTGGTTCTCAACCTGTGGTTCGGGACCCCATTTGGGGTCGAATGACGGGGGTCGCCAAACAACGCAGTCTGCCATTTTTTCCCCCTTTTCCTTAGCTGTGCTACTCCCTTTTATTCTATTGGCTTTTGAAAGCCAATAGAATAGACTCTCTTGAATAGAGTCTAATTCTATTGGCTTTCAAAAGCCAATAGGAATTGTCCAGGCTGTCTCTGCCCTGCTGAGCCCGCCAAAAGTCCCATTCTGCAAACGGTGCTGCACCAGTTGAGTAGTCCTCGACTTACGACCGGTTGAGTAGTCCTCGACTTACGACCGGTTGGGGGTCGCAGCATTAAAAAGGTTGAGAACCATTGATCTATAACAAAACAAACTAGAAAATTTTGCAAATTAGAAAATGTATCTTTAGGGAACCTTCATATGATTCTTAGAAGTATAGAAATTTTGAAGTCTTCCACTGAAAATTGTATCTTTACAAATTGTTCTTTTGATTTCAAAGTCATCAATTTTAAAATGCACGTCATTAGATTTGTCATCCTGTGCATCTTTAAAAATTGAACAAATAGCACTTGGCTTTGGTAGACTTTGTATGCAGAAAATAATCACAAATATCGCACATGCGCACATTTCTACTTTTACCAAAAACATGTCTTATTCTTTTATCCATAGCTATATATGGATAAGGAGATATTAACACATCATTATCTTACTCCCTGCTGAATAATTGAACCAATTATAACTATTCTATTTATTCTCATATTTTTTTATATAGAATCATAGGGCTGGAAAGGACTTCAAAGGTCTTCCAGTCCAATCTCAATGCAGGAGATCTTATTCCATCCTGGAAAAATATTCATCCATTTGATTCTTTAAAAACCTCCAGTGGTGGAGCACCCAAATCTCCAAGAGGAAACTTTTCCGTTGATTAATTCTTCTCCCTATCAGGAATTTTCTCCTTAGTTCTAGACTCGACCTCTTTTTAACAAGTTTCCACATATTATATATTATCTTCCCCTCCGGTGCTTTGGAAAATAAATTGACCCCCTCTTCTCTGTGACAGCCCCTCAGTTACTGCAACACAGCTATCATGTCACCCCTAGTCCTTCTCTTCATTCGGCTAGACATACCTAGTTCCCTTAATTAACTTGCTCATTGTACAGTTTAGCCTCTGGACCCCTTATAATCTTTGTTGCTCTTTGCACACTTTCTAGGGTTTCCAGCATCTTTTTTATATCATGGTGACTAGAACTGGATGCAGTGTATTCCAAGTGTGGTCTCAGTGTGGTTTAAAGTGGTATTATCACCTCATGATCTTGATGGTATCATTCTGTTGATGTAGCCTGGGACTGCATTGATTTTTACGGCAACTGCAGCATACTTCTGGTTCATAGTTAAGTGGCAGGACGCTTAGAGCCCTCTCACAGTTACCATGTTTTCATGAAAGACCCAGCCTGATAGTAAGCCCTAGCTTGATTTTGGGGGGGTGGGCCTAATATAAGCCCTATTCCAAAACTAAGCCCTAGTTTTGGGGTGAGGCGCACCCCTAAAAATCAAGCTACGACGGGGGTGAAGCTGCCCCACATGCCCTGTACCCGTTCACCGGTAGGACCACCACAGCCAGACCTCCCACACCCCGACACCTGTCACACCGCTACTTCTGCAGCTGCATGCCGTCACTTGTGGCCGGATGCCATGTGGTGCATTGCGCCGTTGCTGCTGCTCCCGGCAGGACGTGGGTGTGGGAGGTCTGGCGGTGGTGGTCCTAAGGTAAGACATTCTACGAACTTAAGATCTAGTGCCTCTTTTGGAGGCAAAAATATATATAAGACCGGGTCTTAATTTTGGGAAACCCGGTACTACCATTGAGCATAGATTCCTCTATTCCTTATGCGCACCTAACAACCTAAGTATCATACCCTCTGACATACATTGTAGCTTTTTCATTCATTAATCCTGTGCCTGCTCCATTACTAATAATCTTTATTTACCTCAATTGTATCCTTCCCTGTTCTTTTAGATTCACTGGCATATTATTTCTTTTAGATTCACTGGCACACATATTTCTTTCTTTTCTCTCCTTGCCACTTAACACTCCAAGTTGTGATTTTTCCATACCACCAGATGGATCTTCAGGCTAATTCCCCAGAATTAATTGCATTCTTACTGCTATTGCTATTTTTATTTCTAATGGAAATAATATTTAATTCAAAATCAGTTATGAGAAAAGGGACCAGTATCAGAGCTGAACTTCTGACTTGTATAGGAATATCTGAATTTTTTATTTTGCTATTTCATTTCTTCTAAAAAAGAAATCCCAATAAAGGAGAATATTTGTAGGTCACAGTTGAAATGGGTGCTCACTGCTGATGTTACCTAGTTTGGGAGTAAAACATCTGCAAGAAAACAACCAAACTCAGAGACCACCAAGGACTCCTCAAAAAGAAGTCCATCACTGGCTAACAGGGATGACTTTCCCTTTTGGAGAACATGTTTAAAATCAGGCAGACTACAATGTAAAGAAAAATATTTTATTCACATGGTGGCGCTGTTGGGCTGTGCTTAGTGTACAGCTTGCAGCATTTTTAACAGCTTTTGACCATTTTTTTTAGAATAGTAGCCTATAAAATGTAAAGCAAAATATTTTAATAGAAAATTGGGGGGGGTGTCCTTGAAAATTTTATATTTAGGGGAATATTACTCTTGTAAAATGCATCTAGTTTTAATTGGGAAGCAGACCAATGCTGAAATAGATGGGTCTTTCTAAAATATTTATTATTCTCTGAAACTGGAATTAGTTGTGCTTTTAAAATGTATCATCCAAGGGTTTTTCACCATCAGTTCCTTTGACATACTAAATGTTACCTATATTCAGATGGGGCACTTGAAGTCAAGAAAGTCTGGTCTCTAAAATAGATATTTCTCTTTGACATCCAGGCGGTGTTTTCTGGGTATGACTCAAAAGGTCAGGATGGCAGTTGCAAAAGCTTTGATCACACTGTTGGGGCTGATCTTGACTTTTTTTATATATCCTGTGGAACCCCATAGTAGTATCACTGTGAATTTTGAATCTGCACAAGCTTTCTTTCTTTCTTTCTTTCTTTCTTTCTTTCTTTCTTTCTTTCTTTCTTTCTTTCCTTCCTTCCTTCCTTCCTTCCTTCCTTCCTTTCTTTCTTTCTTTCTTTCTTTCTTTCTTTCTTCTTTTATTTGAATAGCTTTGCCCTTCCACTATATTACACTATGATGGTGCAGGAGAGAAGACTTTGCTATGTTGTTTACAAAACAATCCATAGATGTGAAAACCTAAACGAAATCCATTGATTGGCATCATAATTACCATACATAGCTTAGGCACATTAGTATTTAATTTAGCTCAACAAATGCTAAATTTCTTTCCTTTGGTCGATTTAGCTTTCAGTTCAGAACATCTTGAGTGTCCAAACCTGAACTGGTATCAGTACAATCAAAGATATATCATTATAGCAATAAAAAATAATGGGCAAAAAGATGGACAGATTCAAACACTCACCTTGTGATATATTTTTTTAATATGTTGGAAAAAATGTTTTTCTCTTTCTTTGCCACGATAGCAATAGCAATAGCACTTAGACCAGTGATGGTGAATCTTTTAGAGACTGAGTGTCCAAAAACCGCCCCTGCACCCACCCACACGGCCACCCACCGCCTCCACGGCCCGCAGCAGATTGCCCAGGCAGCCCAGCAGTGCCATGGCAGCCACGCCCTCCGCCCACGCCCCGCAGCATCATCTGCGTGTGATGGGGCACGAGTACAGTGTCTTGTCCCCGCTGCCCAGCTGCTATGTCCTTGGCTGCTCGGGGGCGATTCTCCAGGGGGGGGCTGCTGGTGAGGCCGTGGGGGGAGGCAGGGCTGGGGCAATGGCGCACATGCCCACAGAGAGGGCTCTGAGTGCTGCCTCTGGCATGCGTGCCATAGGTTCACCACCACTGCCTTAGACTTATATACTGCTTCACAGTGTTTTACAGCCCTCTCTTAAGTGGTTTCAGAGTCAGCCTGTTGCCCCCAACAATTTGGCTCCTTATTTTACCGACCTCAAAAGGATGGAAGGCTGAGTCAATCTTGAGCCGGTGAGAATCAAACTGCTGAATTGCTGGCAGCTGGCAGTTCTGCATTCTAACCACTGTGCCACCTCAGCTCATGATCATTAGGAAGTTGTGATATAATTTCTCTAATTTCCCCAGTTCCCCCCCCCCCCGATTAAAGAGCAAATTAGTAACAATTGTACTTAGCCATTATACTATCTCTCTCGAATTGTCACATGCACACTATTGTATGCCACTCAGGATTGCATATATGAGATGGCAGTTATACAAATGTGATAAATGTATGAGTGAGTGAATGAATGAATGAATTTGTATTGTCTTATGTATATACTTCCTCCTTCCAAGTGTATAGAACATCAACAGCTTGATAAGTCACTGCTTTGTAGAGCTGACATCTGCAGATATGATCTGAACACAGCTATGGAATTCGATAGGTAGCCATAAAAATATTTGGATTTTCTACATTTTTTTAAAAAAAAAGTCTTTTAAAAGGAAAGCATTTAACCAAAGAGGTACATTATACATAAACAATGAAATTGATTTATTCTAGTACTTTGGCTTTTTGCCTTTTATCCCTCATGGCAGAGATTTTATATTTATTGGGATTTTTCCGCGCAGGAGACAGAAATGTGTAATAAAAACTGTGGTTTCTTTTACAAAATAAGGGCTAAAATGCCCAATACAATTACTGAGTAGGTTACTCTATTTGCTGATGGTATAGAACTGTAAATAACTACAAGATTGGTGATGCCTGTCAGAAAAAGAAGTAAGCAGGTT